TATATAAGATAAATAAAGAAATCTATTATATTTATTTATATAATATATAATTTGTATACTTTACCCTTGCTTTAAATAATTTGTTGATAGCAACGTCCAATGGTTAAACTTTTGAGGTTAAACTTCCTAGAATTACAGCTAAATTTGTATTTTTTTCAGAGAATCGACATTTAACTATATCAGTAATATGAGCAGTGAATGAATCTAAAACTAAAAGTAAATGTGGGTCTACTGATGCTCTTGATCGCAAATTCCACACATTTTCAATCCACTATAACATCTCATCTTCATTCATCCATCCTTTAGGATTTGTACGTACATAAACTCCAGCAAGAAATACTTGCTATAGAACATTAACTAATTTAAAGATAATAACTGGAGGCAATTTAGTCCCATCAGCTAAACAAGTAAGTACAACGGTAAACCATGATTTTTCATGTCCACAGGTCCGAATTGAAACTGTATTTGCACCACAATTATCAATTGTAGTATTATTTGGAAGGTCGAATAATAATGGGGTTTCGTCCATGTTACCCATTAAGGCAAGAGGATAATTATATTGAATTCGATTATATAATACAAAACTTAAAAACTCTTGTTGTTGCAATCGCAGATCTTCAGGGAGTTTTTGAGCTACGAATGTTCGACGCCGATTACTTAATTTGTAACGAATCATAAAGCCATCAACCCACTTATTGCTAAATTTGCTTTCAGTAATATCAGAATAATAAGTAATGTAAGGTGATTTTTGAGATAACGTTTTGGCCTTAATTTGTATCATAGCACGAGTCACAGGTTTGAGTTTACTGCGTAATTTTTGTACCCAACTAAAAATAGCTCAGGATATTTAGGTGATTTTTCCTTATTCATTCGTTTAATATGAGGCGAGACATTCATTAACTCATTTTTTTTGTTACACCAATCTCTTACTTGTTTTGGTTCAATATTAAATTTGGTAGCTGTTGCTCAAACACTCTGACTTGGGTGCTTTTCAAAGTATGTAACAATAGCAAGTTTTTCACATGCATTCCATTGCCGTCTTGTTTTATTTGTTACTCTCGCATGTCCACTATTCTTATTTCCACATACGCATACCATTGTAACTTTAACAGGTTAACAGGTAAAAAAATTTTTGATTTCTTTTATATCACGATTTACTGATGCAATTATGATGTAATTTATGACATACCGTTAGTTACAGTACGTTAATTTATTAATTATATATTTAATTACGAAGTATATCGATAAATCATATACTGCGGCTATGCTATAAATTACATCACGGCACCTTTGTGAGCCACCTATATGGTAATTTTATTATAACTATGTAAAAGACCCGCTGCTATAGTATCCCGTTACAAAATACCCCCATACTTGTATACTCCCTCTGTAAATAGTACCCGGGTGGGTACTATTTAAGAAATTCGATGGTTTATTGAAAAGTACCCGGGATACTATAGTCAGTGCTATATAGTATTAATTCCAATGCAAACCAACTCAACCCTAACCACACATTGTGTGTTACCGCAATAGTGTGTAAGTTTTGTAAGATAATTTTTTACAGTAAAACATGATAGAAATCACGATCAGTGTTTATTTTTCACATGCGCAAAAGTGTGCGCACATGTGCGGATTCAATCAAAATTTTAAATAAAGTGATTGGATCCGCACACGTGTGCACATTTGCGTACGTGAAAAATAAAGACTATTAATTCTGATACAAAACCAACTCAACCTTGACCACATGTCACTACAGCACATAAGATAATTTTTTACAGTAAAACATGATAGAAATCATGGCTATTAATTCCAATACAAACTAACTCAACCTAACCACGTGTCGCTACAGCATGTAAGTTTTGTAAGATAAATTTTTACAGTAAAACAAAATAGAAATCATGACTGTTAATTTCAATACAAACTAAATTAACCTTAACCACGTGTCACTACAGCACATAAGTTTGTAAGATAATTTTTTACAGTAAAACATGATAGAAATCACGACAGTTAATTCCAATACAAACTAATTCAACTTTAACCACTCACTGTATGTTACTGAAATAGTCCGTAAGTTTTGAGATAATTTTTTACAGTAAAACAAGATAGAAATCACGACTGTTAATTTCAATACAAATTAACTCAACCTTAACCACGTATCACTACAGCACATAAGTTTTGTAACATAATTTTTACAGTAAAACGATAAAAATCACAACTGCTTAATTCCCAATACAAATTAACTCAACCTTAACCACTTGCTGTGTTACCGCAATAGTCCGTAAGTTTAGTAACATAACTTTTTACAGTAAAACATGATAGAAAAAACACGACAACTCCAATACAAACTAACTTAACTTTACCTACGTGTCACTACAGCACGTAAGTTTTGTAACATAATTTTTTACAGTAAAACATGATAGAAATCATGACTGTTAATTCCAATACAAACTAATTCAACCTTAACCACGTGTCACTACAGCACGTAAGTTTTGTAACAATATTTACAGTAAAACATGATAGAAATCACTGTTAATTCCAATATAAACTAACAACCTTAACCACTCGTTGTGTGTTATCGCAATAGTATGTAAGTTTTGTAGATAATTTTTTATAGTAAAACATGATAGAAATCACGACTTTTATTCCAATACAAACTAACTCATCCTTAACCACACTGAATGTTACTGCAATAGTTGGTAAGTTTTGTAACATAATTTTTTACAGTAAAACATGATAGAAATCACGACAGTTAATTCCAATACAAACTAACTCAACCTTACCGTGTATCACTACAGCTAGTAAGTTTTGTAACATAATTTTTTTAGTAAAACATGATGGAAATCACGACTGTTAATCCAATACAAACTAACTCAACTTTAACCACACACTGAATGTTACCGCAATAGTCGGTAAGTTTTGTAACATAATTTTTTACAGTAAAGTATGATAGAAATCACGACTATACAAATTAACTCAACCTTAACCACACACTGGCAATAGTCCGTAAGTTCTGTAACATAATTTTTACAGTAAAACATGATAGAAATCATGACTGTTAAGACTAACCACTCACTGTATATTACCGCAATAGTCGGTAAGTTTTGTAAGATAATTTTTTTTACAGTAAAACATGATAGAAATCACAACTGTAATTCCAATACAAACTAACTCAACCTTAATCACATGTCACTACAGCACGTAGGTTTTTAAAATAATTTTTTATAGGACTGTTAATTCCAATATAATCAACCTTAATTACTCACTATGTGTTATCGCAATAGTTTATAAGTTTTGTAACATAATTTTTTACAGTAAAACATGATATAAATCACGACAGTTAATTCCAATACAAACTACGCATCACTACAGCTCGTAAGTTTTGTAAAATAATTTTTTGCAGTAAAATGTAATAGAAATCACGACTATTAATGCCAATACAAACTAACTCAATCTTAACCACCACTGTGTGTCACCGCAATAGCCGGTAAGTTTTGTAACATAATTTTTTACAGTAAAGCATGAGATAAAAATCACGACTGTTAATCCCAATACAAACCAATTCAACCTTAACCACGTGTCACCATAGCAGGTAAGTTTTGTAAATATTCTTGTAAAACAAGATAGAAATCACGACTGTTAATTCCAATCAAACTAACGCAACCTTAACCACTCACTGTATGTTACCGCAATAGTTAGTAAGTATTGTAAGATAATTTTTACAGTAAAACAAGATAGAAATCACGACTGTTAATTCCAATAAAAACTAACTCATTCTTAATTATGCATCACTACAGCTCGTAAGTTTTGTAACAATTTTTTACAGTAAAATATGATAGAAATCACGACTGTTAATTTCAATACAAACTAACTCAACCTTAACCACTTACTGTGTTACCGCAATAGTTTGTAAGTTTCGAGCATAATTTATAGTAAAACATGATAAAAATCATGGCAGTTAATTCCAATACAAACTAACATAACCTTAACCACATGCTACAATAGCAAGTAAATTTTGTAAAATATTTTTACAGTAAACCATGATAGAAATAATTATTCCAATACAAACTAACTCAACCTTAACTACTCGTTGTGTGTTACCACAATAGTTTGTAAGTTTTGTAATATAATTTTTTACAGTAAAACATGATAGAAATCATGACAGTTAATTCCAATACAAACTAACTCAACCCTAACCACTCACTATATGTTACCGCAATAGTCAGTAAGTTTTGTAACATAATTTTTTACAGTAAAACATAATGGAAATCACGACTGTTTATCCAATACAACTAACTCAACTTTAACCACTCACTGTGTGTTACCGCCATAGTCTGTAAGTTTTGTAAGATATTTTTTACAGTAAAACATGATAGAAATCACGACTGTTAATTCCAATACAAATTAACTACACACTGTGTGTTACCGCCATAGTCCGTAAGTTTTGTAAGATGATTTTTTACAGTAAAACATGATAGAAATCACGAATGTTAATTCCAATACAACCTAACTCAACCTTAACCACTCATTGCATGTTACCGCAATAGTCAGTAAGTTTTGTAAGATAATTTTTTACAGTAAACGACTATTAATTCCAATACAAACTAACTCAACCCTAACCACTCACTGTATGTTACCGCAATAGTCAGTAAGTTTTGTAAGATATTTTTTACAGTAAAACATGATAGAAATCACAATTGTTAATTCCAATGCAAACTAACTCAACCTTAACCACTCACTGTATGTTACCGCAATAGTCAGTAAGTTTCATAAGATAATTTTTTACAGTAAAACATGATAGAAATCATGATTGTTAATTCCAATACAAACTAACTTAACCTTAACCACATGCTACAATAGCAAGTGAGTTTTGTAATATAATTTTTTACAGTAAAACATGATAGATATCGCTACTGTTAATTCAATACAAACTAATTCAACCTTACCTTAATCACGTGTTGCTACAGCATGTAAGTTTTGTACCAATTTTTTACAGTAAAAAATGATAGAAATCACGACTGTACAAATTAACTCTACCTTAACCACGTGTTACTACAGCGAGTAAGTTTGGTAAAAACATGATAGAAATTATGACTATTAACTCCAATACAAACTAACTCAAGTGTCACTACAGAACGTAAGTAACTTTTACAATAAACCATGATAGAAATCACGACTGTTAATTCCAATACAAATTAACTCAACCTTAATTACTCACTGTGTTACCGCAATAGTTTGTAAGTTTTGTAAGATAATTTTTTACAGTAAAACATGATAGAAATCACAACTATTAATTCCAATACAAAAACTAACTTAATCTTTACTACGTGTCACTACAGCACGTAAGTTTGTAAGATAATTTTTTACAGTAAAACATAATAGAAATCACGACTGTTGATTCCAATACAAATTCAACCTTAACCACTCATTGTATGTTACCGCAATAGTCAGTAAGTTTTGTACCAATTTTTTAAGCAAAATATGATAGAAATCATGACTGTTAATTCCAATACAAACTAACTCAACTTTAACCGCGTGTCACTACAGCTAGTAAGTTTTGTAACAATTTTTTACAGTACATGATAGAAATCACGATTGTTAATTTCAATACAAACTAACTCAATCTTAACCATATATTACTACAGCAAGTAAGTTTTGTAACACAGTAAAACATGATAGAAATCACGCCAATACAAACTAACTCAACCTTAACCACACATTGTGTTACCACAATAGTATGTAAGTTTTGTAACATAATTTTTTACAGTAAAACATGATAGAAATCACGACTGTCAATTCCAATACAAACTAACTCAACCTTAACCACGTGTCACTGCAGCACGTAAGTTTTATAACATATTTTTTACAGTAAAACATGATAGAAATCGCGATAATACACACTATGTGTTACATAGTCCGTAAGTTTTGTAAGATAATTTTTTACAGTAAAACACGATAGAAATTACGACTGTTATTTCCAGTACAAACTAACCCAACCTTAACCACGTGTCATTACAGCACATAATTTTTTATAGTAAAACATGATAGAAATCACGACTGTTAATTCCAATCAGAGACACAGAAATTTTTCAAAAGTATTTTTTCAAAAGAAATCAGAATTTTTTGCCAAAATCGAAAATTTTCATAATTTTTTGCACCAAGTTGCATATAAAGATAAATCACATGAAATGATATTATTGGCTCAAGACAAATATTATCATGATTAACATTCTAGGGTGTCTATATTATGTGATGCGATAGGATGAAATATTCAGAATATTTCGGACTTTCTACATCGGATGTTTTTGGAATTTTCACCTGTCAATCACCTCTTCCACCAATCATATCTCAGCCACGTGCATTTTAGTCTACCTAAAGCATATGCAATGTGAAAATTTTGGATATATTGTTTTCGCATAATCCTGGACACCCTACAAGCCCGGAATTCGAAAAAACACGTGATATTCCTAATTCCAATTTGGCCAAAATCGAAATAAATCAAAGTTTTTGTCTAAAATCGATCAAAATTTTTGCTTTAAATCGAAAGAATATTTCCGTGTCCCTGATTCTAATACAAACTAACTCAACCTTAATTACTCACTGTGTGTTGCCACAATAGTTTGTAAGTATTGTAAGATAACTTTACAGTAAAACATGATAGAAATCACGACTGTTAATTCCAATACAAACTAACTCAACCTTAACCGTGTATCACTACAGCTAGTAAGTTTTGTAACAATTTTTTACAGTAAACATGATAGAATTCATGACTGTCAATTCCAATACAAACTAACTCAACCGTGTTATTACAGTGAGTAAGTTTTGTTACATAATTTTTTACGACTGCCAATACAACTTAACCACACACTGTATGTTATCGCTGAAAATCACGACTGTTAATTCCAACACAAACTAATTCTACTTTAACCACATGTTACTACAGCGAGTAAGTCTTGTAACATAATTTTTACAGTAAAACATGATAGAAATCATGACTGTTAATTCCATTACAAACTAACTCAACCTTAACTACTCACTGTGTGTTAACAATAGTCAGTAAGTTTTGTAACAATTTTTTACAGTAAAACATGATAGAATTATGACTGTTAATTCTAATACAAACTAACTTAACCACGTGTCAATCAGCACGTAAGTTTTATACCATAATTTTTTACAGTAAAACATGATAGAAATAACGACTGTTAATTCCAATATAAACTAACTCAACCTTAACCACTCACTGTATGTTACCGCAATAGTCGGTAAGTTTTGCTGCATAATTTTTTACAGTAAAACATGTAATCACGACTGTTAATTCTAACTCTACCTTAACCATGTGTCACTACAGCAAGTAAGTTTTGTAACATAATTTTTTACAATAAATCATAATAGAGATCACGACTGTTAAGTCCAATGTAAACTAACTTATCCACATATTGTGTGTCACTACAATAGCAACTAACTCACCTTAACCACATACTGTGTGTCACGCATAGCGTGTAAGTTTTGTAATAAATTTTTTTATAGCAAAACATGATGGAAATCATGAGTGTTATTCCTGCTTTACTAATTGTTGATCGAGGCTATTATTTTTAGGCACAATCAAACTCAATAGAAAGAACGTCTAAAGCGGGGTAGATTCTTATATGTATTTTATTGAATTAACTTAAGAGTTAGAGTCATTTTAGATTTAGGTTAGGTTAAGTTCTAGTAGTTATATATATGCAAAATTTTCTTCCCGAAGGTAGGTTTAGACTGCCATTTTTTGTACTTTTTTAGATTTTCGTTTTTTCTCGCGATCATCAAAATTCTATAATTTGATTGAATAAGAATCACGTGTTTCTGCACCGCTTTAGACGACCCTCAATAGGGTAATAGCCTCCGACCGTCAATTAATAAACTGGGAAAATATCTCATTTATTCCCGCTATGGGGAATAATATTCATATATTTTCCCGAATTTTTTCTCTTCGGCTCCTATCGGAGCTAAAAAAACCTTGCATTATTCCCCGCAGGGAATAAATACCACTTAATTCCAATACAAACTAACTCAACCTTAATCACGTGTCGCTACAGCTCGTAAGTTTTATAACATAACTTTTTACAGTAAAGCATGATAGAAATCACAACAGTTAATTCCAATACAAACTAACTCTACCTTAACCATGTGTCACTACAGCAAGTAAGTTTTGTATTTTACAGCAAAACATCGACTGTTAATTCCAATACAAATTAACCCAAACATGTTACTACAGCAAGTAACATAGCGGGCTTTAATATGATTGGCCGATTTTGTAGATCATCTCATCTTAATAAAGTCTTATTAAAGTAATGATTTCCGTCACAAAAATGAATTCGGCTCCACGAATACGAATTCGGCAAGTATAAAACAAAAAAAAATAGAAAGGTTACAACCTATTTTATAAACTGTCAAAGTAATTTGACAAGCCGTGAGGTAATTCGGAAGCTAGATGAGAAACATTTATTTCACTTGTTATATTAAGCAAAATGTACTGATTGTAGTGAGATCTTTCAAAGCTTTCAGATTTGAACAAGGGCTGTAGAAATCAATTCGAATCACTTACAGACATGGTAGCTGCTGAAAAGCTGTAATGAAGAAGTCTGCTCTCCTATTTTATTGCTCTTAAAATGCTTTGAGGTTAGAATTATTCTACTAGCTAAGTTAGTGGCACTTTTTCTAAATAGATTCAAAGATAACTATTCAATTAATACTAAAATTTTTTTTTTTTGTCTCTTCAATTTCAGTACATTGGCTTAAGATCTTGGCATATTGAAGATAGATGGGTGTTAAAATGTAAAAATAGTGTCGAGAATGTAATATGGGCATAGGTGTCAAGTTTTTGTAATTATAAAATTATTAGTATTATGTGAAATAGGCGTGAGTGTGGGGCATAATATATATAAAGGCCTTTTTTTAAAAATATAATTTAATAAAATGATGATTTACTTCAATTACTATTAAACTTATCCCGAATTACTTTTAAATCGTTTTGTATGAGAAAAAAAACTTCTTTGATGTATTTAAAAATTGATCATAAAACAATGAATAAAAAAATTTTTACTTAAATAAATATTTATTTATTAAAAATAAAAAACTTGCATAAAACATACATTTAGTAAACTAATTTAACTAATTTAAAAATCATATTCTAACCCACAATACTTATTTAAAAATGTGCATTTGCAAAAGCATCTTTGGCATTCTCTATAAGCATATATATATTACTACAATCAACATTTTTATCCAAAGAAAAATTATCATTATTGGTATCATCACTAGCTTGAATAATGTCCAGTCTATCTTCGCTCTTGTTACTCTTGTCTTTTGCCTTCTTATCTGAAGAATTCAACGTTGTTAAAGCCTCACAATTCTTCTTAATTCTAATAGTGAGGTATTCAAGACAATATTGACATTGGCTTTCTAATACAAAAAAACAATCGAAATGGTAAGCATGACTACAGATTAGAATGCAACCTACCTCACGAGAATCTGTGCAATCTTCTAAATCACAAAATTTATTATTTTGTGGAATATGTTTAGTATTCCAAGCCATTGGTAATATTGCTATATCGGCTTGAGTTTTTAATGTCGGGAGTTCATATTTTTTTGGATTCAAATGTAGAATAGCCTTCGACTCACCAAGATTCCTGGAAACACCTTTAAAGAAATTTAGTAAAAAAAGTGCAGAACGCTTTTCAAGATATTCTAGCTATTTTGCTGAATATCTGATGTTATGGCTTTTAGCAAACGTATTGGTAAAAGAATTGCTGCTGCATGTCTGATCGATTATCCGTGCCTCTTGAATAATCTGCTTTGCCGTGTTTGACTTATTAATTTGCTGCCGAAGTGAGCTGTGAAAATTTTCCACAAAATAGTCATTAAAAACATGAATAGAATCTGTAAGAGTTTGTGAAATAGGGTGATTAGTACTGGACTAGTAAAAAAAATTGCTTAAAAACATTAAAGGCAATTTATTATAGTGTCTTCGATTATATTGGTAAAAAACAGTCAAAATGTAAAACATTGCTTCTAAGTATGCTTGCCAATTTCCACTTCGAAATATTATAAAGTAAAAATCTAAAACTAATAAAACAATATTATCCAACAAATTAATAAGATATCTAGGTTCAGGATCTTTAGAATGTTCAAATTTTCTTATAACTATTGAATGAATTTTAGACCAGCCTTGATATGCTAGTTCTAAAAGTATATTAATTTTATAAGGTTTTGGTTTTTGTGCCAACACCTTGTTATTTCCAAAGATCCTATGAAAAAGCAAATCAAAAAACTGATAATTTAAAAGAAACACCGTCTCATAGCTATTTAAGGATACATGCAAGAGTCCAATTATTGGAACAATATGCAGAATTTGCTCTGGTATTCCAGAAGAATCTCCAAACTTGATGCGACGGGTTATAGCGCGACAGGTTATAGCGCGACGTACATTAAGTTGTCCTGGATAATCCATAGGTGCTATTAGCACCTGTGTCTTTATATAAGTCTCTGCTTCAGGAATATCTATTAAGACTCTAAGAGCATCCACGTATTCTACAGTCGTATGAAGAGACCCTTCTTTTAAATCGACCAATTTTGTATCTACCATGCTTCTATCTACCCGGCGTTGCTCAATTCTATCGTTATAGTTGTGAACTAAAAGACGCTCAACTCTTTCATCGTAGGTTTCTTGTAAAGACTCCAAATTAGCAAACGCACTCTTTCGCCCTGTATAACTAAGCCATAAAGAAGAAAAAAAAAGTAAGTGTGCATTCTTTACAATTATATCTGAATCAATACCCTTTTTGTTATGAATACTCTTTTCTTGATTTGGATTTTTATATGGAACTGAAGCCATTTCGGGCAATGCCTTTAAGAGTATTGTAACAAAATGGCCGATATCATGCGTAGTTGTTGTATCACTATGACAATATTCATGGATATTGTGAAAATTATCCACGTTAAGAACAATCAAATTTTCATTCTGTTAAAATATTATATGTGAAGCTAATTATTAATATTATTTTTAAATTAAATTAAATTAAAAAAAAATTTATATATCTTACATTCTTTACTAAAAAACCACCCACAGTATCCATATGCACTTCTACATGCTGAGCCTTCTTTCTTGCAATAGTTTCACGTCTTACCGCTAAGCCCACACTAGCCAAAGTCTCAATTGCCGACGAAGATGCCTCAGATGCATCTAACAAAAATCTAACCTCTGCCTTAACACCATTAATAAATTTGTTGTTAAGTCCTGCAAGAAAATAGCAAAAAGAAACCAATCTTTTTTTATTTTTTTTGTTAGTCATGTGGCTCTTAGCTTTTGGATTAGTTCCGGCAACTAATTGATTAAAGAAGCCTCTTAGTAATGGTTCGCTTTCCTCAAGTATTTTTTTAAACTCATCCAGATTAAAAATTAGCTTCTCGTTATACATACGTTGTCTTGTATACAACACCCCCACCATGAGCTTAATCTTTTTACTCAAAGAAATTAGCTCTAAATAATAATTTAAAAAAATTAAGAAAAAAAAAAAAAAAGTAACAAATAAAAAACTATTACCTAATTTCGCTTCATCAAGTTCTCTACACACTTCATGGTATGCAGACTCCAATTCCTGAAATTCAGATTCGGAGTAAATAACATCACTACCCAGAACATACAATCTACCTTGAAAGCGCCTCATGCTTTTTTTTGGAATTTTTGAAAATTTTTCTTTTGCTGGTAGATAATCTGGCGAATTAATATACTCTGGATCTATATCTGTTTTATATAAGCAATGATGGCACATCTTCGCCCCTTTTGGCAGTTGAAAAAATCTAGTTAACCATTCTGGAGTCTTCCCGAATTTCGTCACTTCACCTTTTCGAGCCATAGCTAAATAGGTACTATGTTTGGGATGAGTGCATGTAGTAGTTAGTTGGGTCTTTTTTTTTTTTTGCATTTGCAATATACTTATTATAGTGTTTTCGGCATAAAGCTTTGCCAACTAGATCCAAGTGTTGGCTTGAGCTTGGTACGGTTAACTGATCTGTTACAATTGAGGTGCCGTACTGATCATAATTACAAATAACATCGTCATGACCCTCCAAATTACAATATTGAGCCTTTCTTTTTCCCTTATTTGTAATTTTCTTGTATAGACATTTTTGCCGATTTTTCTAATTTTTCTAACCGGTATACTAACTGGTATCGAATTTCAATTAAAATTAATAAGAAATATCGTTACACAAAATCTAATTCTCCGAACCAATAAAATTTTACGAAGATCACACGATGATCTACAAAAAATTAACCAATTACAACGAAAGCCCGCTATGCTACAGCAAGTAAGTTTTGTAACTTAATTTTTTACAGTAAAACAGACAGTTAATTCCAATACAAGCTAACTCAACCTTAACCACGTGTCAATACAGCGAGTAAGTTTTGTAACATAATTCTTTATAGTAAATCATGATAGAAATCACGACCGTAATTCCGATACAAACTAACTCAACTTTAACTACGTACTGTATATCAATGCAATAGTCGGTAAGTTTTGTAACAAAAATTCATAAACCAAAAATCTCGACAGTTCAATTCTAACAATACAACGTTAACCAAACCACTTATTTGTTACATCACGTCATCACAAATAAATAACACAATAATAGTCGGTGAGTTACAGTATTCAAAATCTTGATAATTCTAAGATATAAAATAAATTCTAATTTATTATTTGTCAATTTACGTTAGACGGTATTTACATTAATTTTTTTAATCGTGACTCTCGATAGTGTTGTTATTATTAAATATATGCCTCTTATAATGTTCAAGATTTGAAAGAAAATTCCATAATTGGAAGAGTCACAACGATGATATTGATAAGTTTATTCAACAAACGCAACTTCATGCAAAGAAATTTAGTGAAATCATTGAATGGATTCCTTTTGATAAATTTACAAATATAAAATATCTTTCTAGAGGAGGCTTTGGCACTGTTTTTAAAGCAATATGGATTGATGGATATATTCACGGATTTGATGGTCAAAAGGATGTATGGAAACGAAATCTGCATATGAATGTTTGTCTAAAGAGTCTTCATAATTCTAAAGACAAAGACTTTTTAGAAGAGGTAAGATTTGCATATATTTAATTATATAGTTAATGTAGTAATTTAATTTATTCTAATTAATATTTAGGTTAAAAATCAACATACTTATGGGGGAAATTCAGCAGTTACAATTTATGGAATAACTAAGAACGTAAAAGACGATAATTATATGATAGTTATGGAATATGCAAAGCAAGGAAGTCTCCGAAAATTATTAGACAGTAGATATCATGAATTAAATTGGATTTGCAAAATAGATAACTTATACCGTATAGCTAAAGGGCTTTGTGCAATTCATGAAGCCAAATTAGTGCATAAAGATTTTCATTCTGGAAATATTGTTAATCTAAATCTTTTTCATTCTTACATAACTGATTTTGGTTTATGCAAGCCAGTGTCACAAGATTCAGGATCTGAAAAAGTTTTTGGCGTTCTTCCTTATGTTGCACCAGAGTTGTTAAGAGCGTTAGGAAAAAACGAATATACTCAACCATCAGATATTTATTCTTTTGGAATTATTATGTCTGAAATTCTTAATGGATATCCACCATATTATGACATTCCGCATGATACTGGTCTAGCATTAGAGATATGTAAGGGTCAGAGACCTAAAATCAAACGTGAAGAAGTTCCTCAGTTACTTTCAGATTTAATGTATAGGTGCTTGAATGATGAGCCTAAAAGCAGACCACTTGCTAGTGAATTGGTTGATAAGTTGCGGCAATATCAAGAAGATATAAAGAATGAGAAAACTAAATTATGCAGACAAGTTAAAGCAATTAAAACTCCAACTAAAAATTTTTTAACACCACCTCTTAATTATAAAAAGCACGAAAAAGCTAGCTACAAAAGCATATGCTTAAACGAAAGTTTAAATCTTCAAGGTAACATTATTATTTTATTTTAAAACAAGTATCTAAATATTTTTATTTATATATCGATAACAATTTATTTGCAGGTAATTATATAACTTATTCTCATAAATGATTTTAAATTCTATTTAATGCTATAAAGAAGGCAGCAACTATATTAATTTTCAAACATACTTATTAGTATTAGGTAATATGGCTAACGTTAGCAAGCCTGTGGATCATGTAGAAATTCCTGACAATTTTTGATGGACCGCTAGGGTTTGAAAATCACGGGGTAATTTTTGAATTTGGTTTAATATGAAATACTGTATGTTTTAACATACTGTATTAAATTAAAAATATATACAAAATACATAGTTTATTGTTATTGTTATTATTTATATTGTGTATTTTTTCTATTTTTATATTCAATTATTTTTTATATTCATTTATAATTTTATATTCAATTATTTTTCATATTCAATTTTTAATAAACTAAAAAAAAAAAAAATTAAAACATATAATAATTGAATATTTCTTTTGTGCATTATTTTGCATTTGAAATTGTAGTACAATGTTCAAATTTTGATTTAATAAATCAAGATTGATTAGTGTTTTACAGTGAAAATTATTAAATTTGTTTACAAAGTTTATCATAAATAAATTTATATAATTTTCGTATATATAAATAAATTCAATAATTAAATTGATTATACTTATGAAAATACTGTATATAACCCAAAAATTTTTAATAATTTAATTTTATACATATTGATATATAGGAGTCAGTAGAAACGCACCAGTCTTTTTAATGAAATTTTTTTGAATTTTTAAACAAAAAGTTATTGTTGAGTTATTTTGTTTAAAGTTTAAAATAGAAAAAATTTGATGTGTTTCTACAGACTTATAAAAATGTTAAGAATTTATTATTATACTATATCTTTTTAAAAAAAACTTAATGTATTTTTTTCGGGCTTTTGTAGGAGATGCTAGAGATCCACTTACGTTTGTATAGGCACTACATATATTTAATGTCATATTACTTCATACGAAATGTAAGATGACTAATTTAAAATTTAGAAGTTCAGTTAATGTTTTATTAATTCAAAATAAAACAGTAATGCAAAAAGAATTAGCTAAAATTAGGGTTTGGAATATCCGTTAAATTTAATATAAAAATAGATAACAAATCCCGAATTTTACTGGAATTACAGTATATGAGTTAGGTGCTGAGAAAAGGGACTAAATTGACAATTTTTTCTTGTAATTTCGTCTCTTTCTCATCACCTAGCCCATATGGTTTTATTGGATGTCTGAACAAGTTCAGCTATTAATTATTAATTGCTATCGCTATCGTCTAAATATTCTAAATTCGTAGCCGTATGTTAATATTCTAATGTTCACAGCTTAACCAAGAAGGGGATATTTTTAATATATACTGACCTGATCAATTACACTTTAAGATAATTTTTTTCTTTTTTCCAGGGCTAGAGGACCTCGATCAGTTAAAATCTGACGGTTATATATTTTACATTACCACGTGAGAAATAATACCGAAGTCTAATTTTCAAAATTATAATTCAATATCCATTATAGATCATTCTTCTTTCTTTAGTTATGCCTACATGGTAATCGAACCCGAGAGATAAGTCTTCCCAATATACTGTAGCTGAATATATTTGACACGTAGATAGTAAGATATTTTATTATCCAAAAACTTGGATATTAAAATATTATTTAATAAAAGGAAACTTCGTTTTGAAAAAAAATATAAAAAATATAAATTCCCGATTTTACTCGCGCATATTAATTTTCTATGAGAAAAGAATCAAGCACAAAAAACCTTTTCTATTTTTTTTTTTAAATATCTATACTCAAATTATATCGATATATACTTGTCTTTATGCGCATAGCCTTAACCTAAGGTTTGATTGAAGGCTTTAAAGTAAATGATTATAAGCCACCACTATATTTCTGAACTTAGAAAAACCTAGTGATTAAAGTTTGTGATTTATTGAACAATTCCCGTAATTTCAATTCTTGAATTTCAGCATGCTTATCGTTATATACATAATATTTTTAAAGGAAATGTTTATTCAGGCTGTGTAAAAGATTAACAAAACGTATCTAAGCCTCAAATTGAATATTAGAAGTTTTTTCTTCATAAAAGACAATCTTTCGCTAACCATTGCAAATCTTTAAAAGCTAAGTTGCGCTGTAAAGTCTGTTGGTAATATCTTACCACCAAAACAAATAACAAAAAAGAAAAAAAAAAAAAAGGAAAAAAAAAAACTTAGTTCTGATAACTTGAATAATAAACTGCGGATAGTCAATCCGGATATAATTTACAAAGCTTCCTAGTCACCCAATATGTTCTGGATCCTAATTTTATCCAGATTTCCCGGTGACTGATGATGTTGATAATTATGCATCACTCTTGCTGGTTTTTCGACCCAACAAGGTTTTCTAAAAAATATTATTATAAACTTCAACAACAATCATATCAAAGAAAGAGGGTAGATCTTGATGCGTTTGGATCAAGAGTTTTAATTATAAGAAAGAACATTCTTTGAATGCCTGTAAAAGTTTTTCATCATAGAAATTTTACCAGATTTTATAATTATACAATTTTACAAACATTTATTTCAACAACAATAGCAAAATTATAATTTTTTTTGTTTAAAAAAAATAGTGCCATTTAAATTTAAAACAATATATATTTTTTAAATTATGATAAATGTTTATTAAGCAAATGTACAGATGCATTTAATAAATTACGAGCAAAGTAACTTCTATTTTAACCTTTATTTTTTTGCAAATTCTTTATCGTTATTTATAAAAGAAAAAAAAACCCATATATACATACCATGTGACCCCATGTGACCCCACGCGAGAAGTTTCATTGATATTTACAAACATTAAATTGCTCAAATATAACCCATTTAAATCATATTCAGAGTACTAAAGCCTCCAAAGAAATCCTAAATAGTAGATTTCATTGGTAATGAGCCATGAGTGCATTGCTTTAAATCTAAATTCTTTAAATATCAGTTACGAATCCACAATCTCATCATAATTCTCAATTACAAACCTATTATGGATAATGTTTTCCTTCATTAAGAAATTTTTCAAGTATGAAAAAACCAAATTATGTTTCAAATTCTACAAATTCCCAATATATAAGGAATTATGATTTTCAAGGAAAATTAATATATACTGTTTTTTTTTTTTTTGAAAAAGAATTAATTTTATCATACTGTATACTCACAAAATAACGAACACGGATGTTATTTTTGAAATTATATCTTTACTTTATACGTAAATAGAATTCTTGGCTTTAAAATAACACCCGTGTACCCCGAAATAACCGCACCTCTTGTAACTTACGACATACGTATATTACGTTAGATCCAAAAACTGATACTTATTTTGAAATAACGTGTAGGTGCTCAATAGCACGCAAATGAACTGTTATTTCGCGAGTATACGGCATATATCTAATAATTTAAACAGATTAAACAAAAAAGAAAAAAAACCATTATTCATTACCGACCTTATTAGCTCAAAGCTTTAATATTGATCTTCGGACGAATTTCAGGTATAAATGCGAAATGAATGTAGTTGACTACCGATTTAGGATCTACTTCTATATAACTCGCTAGTTTCGAGTTGTCCTTGCCATGCATTGTCGCAAGATGTGTTACTATTTTCCTGTAAACCTTTACAACCCCTCCTTCTCCAGCATTAGATGGGCACAAAATACACCTGAATAATGGGTGATTACCGAGTTGCCGATCTACGGCACCCCGAACATCAAGAATATGACGAGGTTCTATACTTCTGTGTGTATCATTTAACGTACGAGCTTCTTGTTTGATTTTTAGGATAATGTCATACTTATTATTGTCTTCAAGCTGAAAAAATGGTGGATTCTTGAATGATTCACACCAATCAAGAAACCGAAAAATTGGATCTTTGATGTTAAGAGTAAAAGGAACATTGGTCTTTGTCTTTGATGTTCCAGCAGACACTAAATGTTTGAGAAGTTTTACGATATCTTGCCTTCGTTTAATAATCAATTGACTATTTCGATTTTGCGCTTAAATAGTTTGATATTTAATATAAGACTGTTTAGAATGTTTTATTGCTATCATTGAGGTTTGAGCAATCTATACTCGATAAGTCATGTGACCAAATTGTACATCTTACGCAGATAAGATATCAAAAAACTGACCGAGAACTTTGTTCTTTGACAATATGCATAAGAGCAATAATCAGATTTTTAAATTTTAACTCTAAGGTGAGTTGAAAGGTTTTAAAATCCATGTGATGTTGAAACTTATATCTGAACAATGTTGCTCAATAAATTTACTAGCGATTTTTAAAACCTCTCACATATAGTCATTATTTGAAAATCAAGTCACATGATCATCGAGTATAGACTACTATACATACTAAATAAAAAAATTACCCATAGCCATAGCAAAAACGAGATGCCGGTTATATGTTCAAGTTGACATGCGAAAAAATAAAATGATTTCAAAAAGTGTAAAATTTTTGCTTATAAAAACACCTTTTGTGTGCTAACAAAAAAATTTTCTTGCAAAATTTTATTATAACCTTATGCTCTGCCCAACCTTAAAATTAACCCCAATAATACACTTTTATTTAAATTTTACTCCGTACTTGATTTTTTTGATTTTTGGAGTCGGGTTGATAGTTTCTGTATGTCACATGATCCAACACTTCGCTTTTGCCATGGCTAGGTTTCAAAGGAAAAAACTTACGTGGCACAGGTGGTATATGTGGTATGTGTGGCATATGATGATTAATCTGATTCATTTGGAGATTTGCCATTGGATTCATTTGAAAACTTGTCATTGGTGGTGGTGCATTGACCGAGTTAATTTGGGGATTTGGCCTAATTGAATTCATTTGGGAACCTGGCATTGGATTAATTGGTTTCATTTGAGGACCTGATGTGTCCATAAATTGTCCATTTGGAATTATAGGTGGCATCGGTCTTATTGGTGGAGTTCCATAATCGAATGGATATTTTGAAAAAGGCACTGAAGCCTCCTTTTCTTTTTTTGGAGGTTCATAATCAGCAGGATGCGTCCTCACCGAATTTCTCTTTTGCGGTCTATTAGGTTTAACATCTTTGGAAGGAATATCGGTATGATTGGTCGAAATATCATCTCTATGTATGTTATGATCACATCACTATTAACTCCCTGTAATCTAAAATCTATTTTCGTTACAAATCTACATATATTTACAAACCTTTTCACAACAGCTTTAATCTCTTCAATGAATAAGTCAAAATCTTGCTCAACAAATGGATTGATCGTAATTTTACTCATAAGATTTTTAATTATTGGATTGCTCATGTCTGATGTATTTAACGCTTTTTTCTCGTAGAATTCTCGAACAATTGCATGAACTTTGTTCTGCTGAAGTGTAACTTGTTCATCCCAATAACGTGATAACAAAAGATGACGTTCGATATTTTCTTTGTTTAATTCTACTGATTCCGATTTAGTTTGTAGATCTTTTTGTGTAGAAATTGCATGAGGCAACCAATAATATTGTGTCTTTCCACCATCATCCGGACATGGTACAAGAGGTGGAATGCCATCAATAATACTCTTATCAATATGATATTCGTACTCCAATTGTAGAGCACTATATTAAATTACGAAAAAAATCTTTATTAATAATTATATTAAAAAAGAAACGTAATTATGTATATATGATATATGTTGAAATACCTTTTCGCTTTTTTAAAAATACAGTCCTTACAAGACCTTACGAATGCAGGCCAATATATTTGAACTTTCTTCTCTATACTTTTACAGAACTCACAACCTTTTCCAAAATCAAGCAATTGAACAAATCGTTTTTGAGACATTCCTTTAGGCGGATCCATATCCTTGAACACAGTAAAATGTTCACGAGATGATTTCCAAATATCTGAAGAAATGGCAAATATATCTGCATTAAGCATTGTGGCAAAATTTTTGCACACACAGGACAACATAAGCAAATCTTGAGGCGGTAAATGGTCGCAAATATTAACAAAGACTTCAAAGGAAATATTGTCTTGCATTTTGCCCTTGGGAGGATAGACAATAGGATCTGATAAAAATTCTAAAAGTTTTATCAGTTGGGCGAAATCTTCAGGATGGTGAGTCTTTGGTACGTCATCTATATCCATGCTAAAATATTTTATTTATTAGGTAAATTAGTTGCCTTTAGAATAAACCAATATGTTCTTGAAATACGTAAGTTATTATAAGCACATTTGTAGAGCCATTCCTGGAAAAATGGCTAAAAGTGGTAACCTTTAATCTTTAGATCTATAAGCAAGGAAGTATATTTGACTTTGAGTTTTTTTTATTTATCGTTATACTGAAAACGAAAAGATAATTCGCAAAAATTCTGATTGGCCAAAATTAAAGTTTTCAGCGCTGTCACATGGACAACTCAGACGAGATGGAATTCGACGCCCAAAATTTTGTTCTATTGATCTGCGATAATTAACTAAGATTTACTAGATAAGAGGCGATTCAAAAAAAAAATTAGGAATTCAAAATGCACTGTAGTACAATATTTTTATACGTAATATTGTATTTGTTTCAAAATTTAAATATATATATACGTATATATATATAATTTAATAAACACTATATACAAAATTAAACAAAAATTTTGTTAAATTTGGTTTGATAGTTATTAAATTATACCAGTCACACAATTTGTCACATGTAAATTTTTTTTTTTTTTTTTTTTTTTAATCTTCACGGGTTTTGCCGTGGCTTGCTTTTTATTAAAATGTGTATAAGAACTATA